AAAAAAACCAAATACACAAGATTTATGGGAGTTCGTCTGAGACGAAGGCCTGAAATTCTTGAAAATTTGCAGGTTTCGTCCGTGATTATATTCTCATGAATTTAAGGATTTCATCATGCATCTGAGAAGAAGTGCAAAGGTAAACGAGCCGGCGCATGGCAGGGAGCCAAAGTTCTCAAGAATTTTAGGGTTTCGTCCGGAAGCGCGTCCTGCGCAAGCCTTAAATATAGTCAATGCCGAAGCAAATAATTCCCAATGCCAATTTGAGAGACGATCGATATTGACGTAGGTAAAGAAGGTATGATTGATGATTCAATGGTATATCTTAATGATATGAAACCTAGTTGGGCGAATTCTAGGGCAATCCCGGATTTACTACAATCCCCAATCCCCTATAATCCACCATGTAAGCCTTGATGAAACCATCTATGAATGGTTAAAAACTCTCTACAAACACAACAAGCCCTATCTAAACTCAGAACCACATGGGGGTGAGGGTAGGTTATAATCCCTCTACAAGCACGATCAACCAACTATAATCGAAGTTTAAAGCCACAAGACCCAGACCACAGGCCACAGGACCACAGGGGGATGTTGGGGGGCAATAGCTAATCCTAACTTACAGCTTGCAAGATAGCCACGGGGCGGGGCGTCAGCACAGATCCCAATACCTCCCCCAAAACTCTATGATTGTGTTCCCCTAGGAGCCTTGTAAGGGACTTTGAATTTATCCATCTTCAGATGACGACTGTCGGGCCCGTCCAGGTCCAATGATTCATCCCTAAACCATTTACATCCACTTTATCCCCGAATACCCTCTGCTTTTCCTATGAAGCCCTTCACAGAGGTACAATGTGAGTTTTGATGCAGGGCCGCCCCCGGTTTGCTGCAGGTAGCTCGTGGCACTTAAAAGCTGCTCCTCTGAAAACCCGGGTCAAAGGAAAATTGAGGTTCAGGTCTCCTAGTATGGTCCCCCCCTTTCATGAAGTCCACTTAGGATTTGCTAAATGTATGGTGAGCAGTTTCAGCATAAAAGCCCTGAGTAGCCCTCATATACCTCCTAGTCTCACCAAAAAGCCATGGATGAGCCTTGTGTAAAGGAACCATCCGGTAACTACCAACCTGAAAACTATAGTCCCACTTGAATTAGTTTCGGTCTGGGGCTTCACGAAGCTGAGGATTTGGGACCGTGATTTAGGCATGTTTTGGTTTGGAACGAGGAGACTGAGGTTTGGGAATTTGACATCCTGCACTCCTCAGATCCTGTAGCCCTCCTCGGACACAAAACCCATGACTTGAAAAGTGTGCATATGGGATTTCTCTAACACAGGAGACCTTGGCAACACTACAGCTACAAAATGCAGGTGCACGAAGGAAGATTTGGGGTCTTTTGGAGACGAAGGCGCCATGTTCGACCTCCTGTGGGTTAAGTTTCGTTCCTGCCAAAAAATGAACTTTGTGTGATCAAGATGTTGCATGGATCAGGATGGGCATCGCACATTGTGATCAATTACCGCTGCACGTCATCTATCACAAAAATTCCCATTCTACATTCTACAAACCAATCTGTCCTGTACTAACTGATTAAACACAGCATCCTTCCTTGATCAGCTAGCGGTATTCACCGTGTAGTAAAGAACCTGACAAACTTTATTCAGCAAAAGGGCCACGCCGATAGTACTCCATGCACCCTGCGTGCGCTCTCGGAAGCCTTCAAGCATCCACTCTAACAAGGTTTCACTTTGCACAAAAGTGCTAACTAAACAGAAGCCTTGAGCACTGCAAACCTTTGTTTTGGATCACGAGATACCTGCTTCACGTTTTTTGATTCAATGCAATGGCCGATGGATCTGATTGCAAAAACTTGAGTGCGATGAAATGTAGCAGCACAGCACAGAACACCTCGCTCCAAATCAACCTGTTGACAGGATATCGCTGTCAGCCAGCCACCCGTCAAACTTACATTTGTTCTGGTCATGCTGCGTTGCCTGCCTACTGGCCTCATTCTTTGAAATGAATCCTAGCCCAGCCACTCGGAGCATCCAGCTTCTCCGTGCCGAGGACAGGCAGCATGAGCAAAAAAGGCGACCTGCCCATGTAGAACCCGACTATCCGGTGCTGAAACTGCTCTCCCTACGACAGTTTACTTGGGCTTTGCACTCGTCGGGAAGGTTTTACCCTCGTGAGACCGAAGCTGCAAGAGCGCCGGTGTCCTAGAAGGAAAAACTTATTGACTCTGCTCTCCTTCAGCAACATTAAAAAGGGTCAGTGACCATCACTACAACACTATAGAAAGAAAAGCCTTTTCCTTGTCTTCGTCCTGGGTGCCACTGTTCAAGACTCCCCTACATCAGGCAGGAGCTGAAGAAAGGCAGCCGAATGACAAGAACTTCTGGGGGGCCCCAAAAAAAGAGTGCAGGCAGGCCTTCAAATCTATTCTGCATGCGATCGGGCTCAAGGAATCGGGGAACCGGATGGACCTGGAGGCAGCCCCTGCATCCTTCAGGAGCTCCTTCTTGATGTCTTGGTACGTGTCACCTAAAATCTTACGAGCTCAGAAAAGATGAAAGTGCTCAGTAGATGACAGAACTCACTCCGACATCCATAACCAACGTCGCCGCCACCGGCACCAGCACCAGCGCCCCACAGGCAGCAGCACCACACCGCCGCCACCACCACCAAAACAACA